TCACACAGCCGTCACGACGTGACTGAGAAGAGAATGCGTGCGAGGGTCGCGACTTCATCCGAGGTAAGATCGAACGAATAGTCGAAGGGGCTCACATTCTGCTGCCCTGGATGTTTCTGGCATGCTATTCTGCAAACCTCTAACTTCAATAGTTGAGGATAGCCTGAGGTTCTGAGATGGAGAGACTCTTGCGTGCTCGACCGGGAATTCCAGGGTACCGACTGAGTGAGGTGAATACGTGATAATAATTTATAATATACCAAATGATAGATGACATCTGACAAGTAAACATTCTTTTTTGAAAATGACAATCACCAGGTTCGACATGCTTTTCTGAAAGTTTCCGAGCCCCGGAGCAACCCCGAGTCGTTTTTCCCTGCTGTCCCGCATTTCATACCCCTTCCCTGCAGGCTCCGAAACCCGGAAAAAAAACCATTTACATCGAAATCCGGGATATTTTGCTCGGATATCAATGGGAATGGGTCTTTCCGGGCTTCGGAACCTGGGGAAAAAACATTTCCATCGAAATCCGAGAAAAATACCCCAGATTTCAATGTAAATGGTGTTTTTTCCGGGTTTCGGAGCCTGCAGGAAAGGGGTATGAAATGCAGGACAGCAGGGAAAAACGACTCGGGGTTCCTCCCGGGCTCGGAAACTTTCAGAAAAGCATGTCAAACCAGGTGATTGTCATTTTCAAACAAGAATGTTTACGTCAGGTGCAGACAGACGCGATCGTATATTCCCTCGTATTTCGCGCCAGGTCCCCCGTCCGGAGCATCTCTCAACTCACTTGAGAATGTTGTCATGCCTCACAATCAGTCCAGGAAGCCGAATCTAGAGCAGCATGATACCGCAAAGTGTTCACTAGACACTGGAGCACGCGGGGATTCATTCGGGGAATATTGAAATGGCTCCCGTCCTCGATAGCTGTTATGATACGAATATTGATACCAGCAGAGCATCTCGAAGTGATGCAATATGTGTAAAAACACCGGAACGGTGGAATGAGAGGCTACCGAAGGCGGATTTGAAGACCGATGGATCGGGGTTCCTCTGTATGCGATCGCGAGAATTTCCAGATCTCAAAGCAAGGGCTGAAAGTATCTAGCTTGCGGATCATCACCGCGATCTTCCTCCCATTTCGCCGAGCTCTCGATTCGAATTGCACGAATAACGTGCTCTCTGCCTTCCTCAAAGCTCTTGCGGATCAAAAAAATTGCCGAGATGAAGGGAAGCGTACCCCGTTCATTCACCTCGCTCTGGCTTGAGAGAAAGATACGAGGATCAACTTCAAAGCTTCTGTCGCGAAGTTTCGGAAAAATCTTCCTTCCGCTCATGCTCGCGACGGCATTGTTCTTATGAGGTAATCGTGCTTGCGCTTCGGAAAGATCGACGTGCTACCGATCGACCCCGCGTATCCGGATTGTTCATGGCTCGAGCAGAGATACGTTTTCAGCTCCCCCGTTCACATCAGGCTACCCTTGCCTTGCGTATCCTTGACACAATCCGAAGTCGTCAGCTTTCTTATGTGGCTTGATTCAACACCGATCTAGCTGATCGTCAACATGCTGCCTACGGACATGAGGTTTGTTTTGTGAACATGATTGGCTGAATTAATCCTTGTTGGGCCATCGTAATATTCGATCGAAGATTCGTTATTATCCCTGTCTGGAATGTTAACTACTTCCTTATCGTGTGGCACTTTTCTCGTGCCGGGTGTGTTGCCTCCTCCGTAAACTCTTCGCTGTTTCAGAGCCGTGTCGTTGCGTATTGGATTAATTGTGGCGCTGAGTTCTTTCCTTGTGCCGAGCGGAGCTTTCCGGCCGGGCAACGAAACCGGTCTGACTCGGAAAGATCACTCTCTGAAAATACCTTCAGGCCACAATTCAATGCGATTCCGCGGCTCGCTGAGGGGCTCTCTCTTTTTCGATTTGAACTTCCTGGAGAACGATAAGATCCTGTACAACATCCGAGCTTTCCCGTGGGGAGACGTCGATTACGAAGGGAAGGAGATAATCGACATGTGGTCCAGGTGAGAGTCATTGGCAAGATAGGCTTCGGAAGTATTGAGAGCAGCTATTCTCCAATTCATTGCTCCCCCCCTGGGACCGGAGCAGACCGAAATCTGAAGAGGTATCGCTCTCTTTGCAGCAATGAAACTCATCTGGCTGAAGAAGCTGTCACGAGGCAGAATGCAGGACCAGCGCTGCCGAATTTGCCGATCAGAAGCGACCAAGAGAGAATGGACTTTAAGATACAATTCGTTAAGAACTTCTACGGTGAAGATCGCGAGGTGCTGATGTTCATTGGGAAATCGCTTCATTGGAGGGAAACACTCCCGCGCAAATTCAACTTCGACAAATTGGTCCTTTCTGAAGCGGTCGAAGAAACCGCACCGGCATCCAAGCTCAAGGCGACTTCCTTCAACGAAGTACACACCCATCCGGAGAGCGCGACCAGGTGACAGTCAAACTTTTTGAGGAGCTCAAGACTGACTCATCTTCACACAGGGCTCCATACCGAAATCAGTCTCTCCAAGAGGGAGTATCTGAGAAAATTAAAAAAATTCCTCCCTAACAGACCCAACCTACTTCCATTCGGCCCTCCCTTGTCCAAGTATCAGAAGCGCGATGCTATTTGGGGGATGACGCCGCTGCAAGTCGCACCGACAGACCGGTATCAATTCCAGATCAAGGGAGAAGTATCGGTGAAAAAATTACCATCCCCGCTGGAGATAGAGGCCACGTTCCTGACAAACTACAGCTCTTTCCGAGTCTTGTTCGACGAGCCTTATCTGGCGAAGGTGAGTCCCTTCGTACTGTGAGAGAACCTCGTCGAATCACAAGATCAAATCGAATTCAGCTGACATCGAACTTTCGTTAGACTTCCTATTCGGAGAATTTTGCGAATCATATGATCAAGTCCCTGGCATTAATCAATCACCCGTTCCCCCAGCTCCAATTGGGCGTCATAAATGGCACGAAAGCATTCTTAGGACTGCTCCACCGAGAGATCCGAGGCGGTCCCGAGCTTTTGGCTGCTGTGGATGAAAAAGATTTGCCCGAAAGCGTCTCAGATCATAGCTTCCAGCTCACTTTGCAGCGAGATCTCGACAAGGTCGCGGCTTTTGTCGACATCAACGGCGTTCGACTCGAGGCAGCAATGCTGGTGAGCTCGGGCCTCAAACTCCCAAATACCATGATCAGGGAAAAGGTGGAGCATCCGTTCGGTATCTCAGTGGCGTCTCGATTCCAGGTTCGGAACTCTTTGATGATCCTGCCTTCGCATCTATTGACGATCGTGATAGGCAAACCCGAGGAGCATTGGCTGACAGTGACCGATGTCAATGAAAAATACGTGTAGGGTCGGCGGAAAATGTGAGCCGTCATTGATGGTCGAACCGCGAGCGACATCGTAGCAAGTAGATTTTGTAGACTGTGATAAAACGCGTCGGCAGCCTATCGTCAACACCAACGGAGGCAGCGACAGGTGCAATGTGTATGTATTCAAACGAGTTGGTACGGGGCTAACAGATTCGATCGATGTTTCCATCGTCGTCGGTTGGAAATTTAGAGCGGGAAACCGTATTTGAGCTCGCCTCAGAAGCTTCTGACGCGGAGAGCCTGTGCGATGGCGAGAGACGGGTCGCCCTGGGATCGGATCACGATCTATGACTATTAGCGGCAACGAGGAGCAAAAAGTATCGATCGGTGCCCGTCGATGCAAATCAAAGGAGACAAAGCTCTTGAAGGGGGAGTCCTTTGCGAACAGAACTTCATTGAATAAAAATTTCCATTGGCCAGTCCCGTCTGATTTCATTGGTCAAAGCATCCTGTCCAGCGAGCCATGCCGCCCGAAGGGCACCTGCACCCTTTCGCCGTGTCGCGATCAAAGCCGCCGCCATGGTCGGCAGCTTCTCTCGCCCTTTATTCGCTGCTTCGAAGATCGCCGATCCCCCTGTCTTGTCACGAATGCTCAAGAAAGCAGATCAGACGAGCTGGGAGAGTGAGATGGACTCTCCAGGTCGCGATCATCATGCAGACTCTCAGGAGAAGAAGAAGAAACTGCTTCTCCCGTGAACCTCGGAGAGCCACGAGGTTCTTTACTATGGAAACTAAGAGACTGACCCAAAAATATTTTGCGGCCATTCGAAATTATTCATTACTGCTTCGTCTTGGATCGAGTTCCACGCCTTGGACCGAGGAAACCGTGCGTAAGATTTCGAAGCAACCGTATGATCCCGGTATGACTCATCCTTCTCTCTGCGAGATGGACAAGGGCCCGCGAAACAAAGCGTCATACGGTAATCGAGAATGTCTGTGAGAGCTGCCATCGCCTCATATCGCTCCCGATTCTGGCGGATAGCTCCCCATTAGAGTCAAAAACAAAACGCGTCCCCCGTCTAGTATGAACGCTCACTTCTTGATCCGACATGTACATTCATGAACAATCAAATCCGGCATGCCGTGCGACCGTTAATCCCTGGGAATCGGGAACCCGCCATGGGGCGACACCCGATATCCAGGCGCGTCTGCAGAGGGGGGGGGGCTAGGAGGCTATAGCCCCCTCCCAGATTGAGACTTTGTGGTGCTAAGAAACAGGAGCGGTCGCCATGTTGGAAGTCAGCCCATGCGAGGACCCCATCTAGCCCCCCCCCCCAAGAAGACTCCTGTGGTCGCCCCTGCCGATATCCCAAGTCAGGGCAGAATAATAACCACTTTGTGTTTCCTCAACAATGACTCCGGGCATCCTTGACGGCAACGCTAACCGATACCCCTGATCCCTAAGTGTATTCGAAGTACTCGGTCGAGCATGGAATATCATAGTCTGATATTCGGGGAGTCGAAAAAAAAAACAAGACCCCTACCCCGTGGACGAAGATTCGACGCACTCGATAGTGAATACTGATCTGGAGCCCCGAGGAATCACGAAACTTGCGCTCACTCAGACTTAATACTATGGTGATAGATGTCGTGGAAAAGTTGAATTTCTTCACGAGATCGGGCAATAGGCCCGAAAATAGATCTTGCCCCCGGGGGCTATACGATGGATTCCAGCAGACGCACCGAACGCGACGGACGCGTCAACTGTGGCGCCGCCAATCGATTACAGAGGGGGCTTCATCATTCCGACAGCTGAATCGTCCTCAGACAGTCCTTTATGCATTCAAATTCTCCGCTGTCTGTCATCTACTTGGCCGAAATCTCAGGTCCGGACTGCAGTGAGGCCGAGATACTCGGAGTCGCAACAAGCATGACCTTCGTGAAGACCGCAGCCATGTCTCTCCCTAAGAAGGTTTTCGGATCGCCCAAGGCAAGCTTGAAGCTTTCTCAATTTTTGATCAGAGCTCAGGCGGAAACGGAGATTCCGGTGATTGCCTATTGCCCCCAACCATAAGGATAATCGAGTGATTCCTATGAAGGCTGAGGCACGCATCCCCGTGATGTCTTGTTTTGCCTACGGAGCTTTACCCATCGTGAAGATCTCCTATGTCCTTCCGAGCTTATTCAACGATGTGAGTATCTGATCGATAGCCGAGGGTGCGAGGTCTGCGCACACGTTTGTAGCTTTCCCCCGGCCGGCTTGCTGATGTATCGTCCGGAAAGTCATTGGCCGGCTGTATCCCACATGAATCACCGGCGGCCGCAAGCGGGAACTTCATGGTTCCCATTGGCTTCGGGCAAACGCCGCAGCAGATTCCGGGGCCATAAGGAGGACAGCGTCAAGAACCTCATAGAATACCGCCGTCGATCCGAGACATTCTTCTTAAAGAAAATCGTATTTAAAGATCGACAAGAAAACGGGAAAATTCGTCACGAAACGGAGCACTTTCCGTATCCTCCATGTGCTGATCTGCCTTCTTGTCTGTATGGCCGTATCGATAATCCACCTCCTTCCGTGAGTCGAGCATGGATTCGCATCAATGGACTGATTTTACAGAAACACTCCACGAAAATGTCGTCGTACGTCTCACGTGACCAGCAATGCAGGTGTAAATGGGGATCGCTAATTGAATGCACTTGCATTCTGTAGTACTGATGTGAGATTTCCAACGGACAGCCTTCTTGTCCAGCCCAATCTGTCTCGGAATAACTTTGTGGAGGTTTCAATGGGGGAGGGTAGAAGGCTTCCTGATAGCCTGGCAAGTCGGGGGATGACCTTGCCGGCTATGTGGAAGCCTCCGATGTTGCAGCCGTTTATCTATGTATATCTGGTCTCTTCAGAGGTTTGAATGAATTCGCGGGGAGGAAACCCGAGGTTGCGATCAGTTTCCTGTCGCTGGTCGTCGTTTCAGTGTACAACATGATCGAGGCCCTGCTCGCACTCTGGACTTCATTCATAATGGCAGCGAAGATTTGCGATTGGGCAAATGCGACTGAAGAGGTTAGTTACGTCCCGTAGAATACCGATTCCGAATCCACCGTCGTCGTGAGTATTGGATAAAACATCCTGGTAACTTCTCCGTCAACGGGAATCGTGCAGATCGAAGACCGCTTACATCTGCGAGGAAGCGTGGAGTTCAGGAGGACGGCGCGTAAGGCGACGCTGATCACCCTTAGCTATATGGTAAGCGCGAGCATACTCGAGGTATTTCAGTTTGATCGACGACGTATGTCCAACTTCGAGAAGATCTTTAACATGATCGTGGGCAACAAAGGTCGGGCTCTCCTCGGTCCATTTCTTCTCGTCGCTGATGATAAGCTTCAATGGTTCAATATATGGAGATACCTCGGGCTCGGTCCAACTGCGCTCTTTGGTTAGTGTATCAAAAATATTTCAATCTGCACGATGCCTCTTTCTGGGGCCCTCCACGCGGCGAAGATCTCGAAGAATTTCTCGATTCGAGGAGTTCCGCTGGACGATCAGAGGATTGACTCGATCTTGTCTTGTGCAGGCGTACAATTTAATGGCCAGTTGTTGCATCTATCCGACGGCGTCGCAGCCTCTCGCCTTCATAATTTTCACGGCGTTCATCCTGAAGGCGAGTTTTCTGTTAGGAAAGATCGCAACTGTCCGCGTCGATTTCTTGATCTGCGGTATTCAATCCGACGACCAATCTTGCTTCCGTAGGCATACGTCAAGCAGATATCTGTGGTTGTGCAACACATACTCGAGGAGGCTCCGATTCATTTCGGCGTCGCCTCTCTGCGCCTGGATTCCTGCAGACTGACTTACGCTCGATTGAAGAGCATGGCGGATGCGATGTCCGAGGTGGGATTTTTTCATTAAGTTCCAGATCGCGGCTTCCATTTCTCTGGAAACGACTCATATCGAGCTCGGAGGGCGGCGTTTCGATATCATAAGCTCTATGCGACACCGCTGTAGCTTTAGGAACGACATAGGCCGTCCTTAAAGGATGCTCTCGACCAGAAAACCTCTGACGTCCCCGTCCCGAATCCTTGAGCGCGAGGCAAATCGCTGCTGATTGTCAAAGTTCTCCTTGGGACGATTCTCCGATAGATGCCCCCTCCCCCCGGAAGTATCTTCAGATGAAGAATCTGTAATATCCGGTCCCATATTGCGTCGCATCTCGTCGTGCCGCGGTCCTAATCGTCGAGCGAAGGTTCGAAAATCACAAAGTTCCACTACATTGACAGAAATTTTTTTTGACAGAGGCTTTTTTCAGATTTGGGCCTTTTCTCTGCTGATATCGTTCGGAGGAAGCATCCCCTTGCTCTGTCTAATCACCTACCATTCTACAGTGGGCGAAAGCAACCCGACCACGAAGGTGAGTAATCGTCTGAGGGTCACAGGGTACTTCTAGGGTCGTGTCGTGAAAGAATCAGCTTCTCTCCTTCGCGTATCTAATCCCATCGGAACTTGATCAAGCTGAAGGGCTCAGAGTAGTTACATTAAGGAAACTCAGAATCTCATAATTCATAATGGGTACTCAAGTCCACATCTACAGAAAGGTACTGAATTTCATGTAGGATTCACAGCTGGCTACTGAGTATTGTGGAAGTTCAGTCTGTCGGTACTCTCTGGCAGGGTTCTCTTGAGGCGCACTGTTCGCACCGGGAGAATTTTACATTCATCAATCCAACCTTATGAATTTGTGAATTCCTCGAGTCTGACATTCTGGGCTCTGACGGAAGGCTATGGATGGTATCAACATGCTGAAGATATGAACACTCGGGTTTGTTTTGTTCAAGCTCTACTTCATCTGTCATGCCGTGATCATTCTCGCCAAAATCTTGGTGCCGATGTATATCGCTTCCGACATGGAGCCTGCCGTGAGTTCTCGAGATTGATTTTACCGTGAGATTATAACGTACGTAGTGGAGGGGAATCGCCCAGCGGGAAGGGAAAACCGCTGCGCCTCATTTCAGATCAAGCTCCTCCAGCGTACTCTGCTAAATTCACGTCTGGATACAGCCCCTAATGTCTTCCTGAGCCAGGTCCGTACGATTCTCCGATATTGCTGATATCCGGCCAATGTGTCCACGGGACGTTGAGTGTAACTGATTTAGAATTTCCACAATAATTACTTTCATCGTGCCTGATTTCAGATAATCCAATTCGAGCGGGGTCTGGATCCTGAACTGGATCTCAAGTGTTCAGGCTACGGATT